CGAACAACACCTGGCACATTCCGCTTGCGCACACAGGGGGAGAAGTTGGTAAGGATGGAAAGTCCGTCAATCATGTGGAATCTAAATATTTCTTCCGCTCGACCATCATAGCCGAGGAAGTCGATACTTTCCGTCCCACTCTCCTTGCGAGTAATTAATGTTCTTTCCCATGGAGGAAAAACCAATACTACGAACGTGAATGATACCAAACGGACGAGCCCGTGACTGCGGTGCCACCATTTTAAGTACTTCTATTCTTCATATCGTTGTCATCCAAAGTTTTGCTCCATGCCTCAGAGCAGAGGTATGATAAAGAATAATGGTCCTCCGCTCTACCAACGATTGCAGTCCTAAACAATTTCCAGTTATTATGGAGTTGTATCGATATGTGTCATGTTTTGACAGATATGTGCATGGGTTTTGCCCCGAAGTAGGCTTTTACCATCAGAAAACCCTCAAGTCGGTGTTATCTTCAAAGCCTAGGGTATCCAGCAAAGAAAAATATGGAATGTTTTATTTAGGCCCCAATAGAGATAATGGGCCCCTTCAGAACAACTACGCATTAACGATAGTTTGAAATGTTGAGAAATTTTTTAAATTGAGATTTTTGCAAAGAATCGACAAGAAATTTCGGCAATTAATAATAATCTTCATTTTTAGCCTGTGGTGTTTATTGATGGATCAGGGATGTCGTATGGAGGCTATCAAGTGCAAATCCTTTTTCACATCGGCCTCATAATAGACTCAACAGTTTTTCAACATTAAATTATTCAAATTATGTCAAGAGAAAATAGGCTCTACCGATCAGCACCCAACCGCCGATTAGGCGATTCTCTCACAATGCCATTGCAGGGAGTTTCCTCACTTTTTTCATGTAGTTCCCGATCTTTTCCCACGTACAAAGTAGAAGGCTTTAGAACATCAAGATAAACCCGTCTTCTTGATATAACTCCGCAGAGTGAGATGCAAGGTATTTCTGGTGAAGGGGTGAAGTACCTCTTTCTTCTCCTTTAATACAAAACTTTTTCCCCTCATGTGTCCTTTTAGCCAAAGCGGACTCTTTATTTCATGAACCAGGAAACGCTGAAGCTGTGGTAATGATCTTTGCAATCGAGACGCTCCTTTCAATAGACATCCCTCTTCCTCCAGTAATTTAAAGCCGCATGACCGTTTCATGGATATTTTATCTAATAATAACGTCAGTCATATGCAGCTATAACTATCACAACTTCTTTAAGCTGAAGAGCAACAACAAAGTAGCTTTAGTTTACTGTATAAGTTGTGGACAGATGAATCTAAAGTACGAGAGGGTTTTTCTTCTTCAGCTCCTGGATGTCCATCTTCATATTCTCTGACGGCAGCAATGGTGGGGTGTTTTATGGTTAGACTCGAGACGCACGTGGATTCAGGTGTAAGAATGGAAACTGGTCTGAACAAAGAAAGCTCCCATTTTGCTTATTCTTCTGCAACATCTCTGCCGATAAGCGATAATTTATTGCAGGTTCTCGAAGGGGAAGAATGAAGTGCGGTCAAGGTATGCGGGAAAAAAAGCATCCAAGTATCACTAAGGATTTTTACTTAGGAAATAATTAGACTTGGAGTTAACATTCTACCTCCTAAAAGACTTTAATAACTTTCATTGGTAAAAAGAAGAATGTAGCATAAATGAGCCTGTCATGTTCCACGAAGACACTTGGAAGTAAGTAGGATAGATTTTAAGTCCATCAATCGTATGAAGTTACGAGAAAACATTTTCTTCGTTGTCTTTACCTTTTTTCACCCCCGTCCCCCTAGGGCCTAACCAACAGACTACATTTTGGTCAAGCTAAGGCCTACCTTTTTTCCTTTCAAAAGAAACTGAATTCTCGGCTAACGGGGCCAATCAGGCCTTTAAAGGGGAATCTGTGGTCTTCATGCGTGTCTCGTTGAGGACATTTAACGTTCAGCCAATCGCTGCCATCTTCATACTTCCTCGAACCATCTCGGACCTGCGATCAGGGTTCGATTCCCAGTCGTCCCCTGCCTTTTTTCCGTCCAACTTTCCCCTCCCGCCCACCTGTATTACTGTACCATGGGGGGTAATCCCAATGCTGGATCACTAGATTAGGTAGTAGGTAATATTCGAGTGATCAAGTTTTCACTGAGAACATGTTTAAAAACAATAAAAACATGTTACCGATAAGTTTTTATTCACTCCAAAATAATTTATATAGTATTCAAAGCGTTAAAAAAAAATATTATTTACAAAAGAGAGAGGGGTCCGAGCGCATTTTCCTCCACCCAAGACCGGTAACTTATAAGGAACCATGAGGCTAACGTTCCCCAACTTGTCATCCATGAACTATTAAATTTACCCTCCTACCCAGGCCTCACGATTCCTTTTGGCGATCCTGAGACCAAAAGACGCGTTGGCTAGGCACGACCACGTTGTTGAATGACGTCACTATTGGGCAGCAGCTGCGAGCGGAACATAGCGAACTATGAGAACGCTGAGAAGCTGAGGCTTAAAATGACGTCATCAAACGCTGGGGGCCGGGCTAGCTAGCCGAGCCGCAAGCAAGAAAAGACTCGCGCCATTACACGCTTAGCCTAGGCTGGAAATGTGAAACTTGAATAAAGTGGCAGCCTCATGGAACCCATCTGGAATGGTTGGGTTCACATTAGTAAATCTCACACCACAGTTTCAATTACTAAGAGGGTTGAAAAAGTCTATACTTTTCCAAAACCAAATGTTGAAGAGAACTTTCCATGCCGGACGAAATCGAGTAGTAGCCCTGCAGTTTGACATCCCTGGCCTAGACCGACCCGAAGTTCGTGGAAGTCTTCCAGAGGTCATTTTCGAGAACGGGAGAGAAGGGCTGCTGCTTATATCTTTGAGAGGGCCGCTGAGTTTAAGGGCTGCTGACTGAGCTCGGGAATTCCAGAGAAACAGTTTATAGAAGACTCCTCGCCGGTTGGAGTGCCAGGCTCACGGTCTCAAGGTCGCTTGTTCTCTCCTTTCCAGCCTCTGCGACTGTCGGATCCGTTCTTGAGAATGGGAGGGAGAGGAGTGAACATCACCGAGTGATGTTCACTCGATATAAACTTCAACACGGGAAAACCCACGTACTTGGAGTCTCGTGTTCCTCTGCTCGAAGGAGAGTAACTCCCGAGTGTGAAAATGGCGGGCTCCCAACTGGGAGCGATGGAACGGACAGGTTTATCCTTGGATTGCAAAGATGCCGCCGGTCGTGTCGTAACCATCCCGTTTCCATAATGGTATATTTCATTCATAGGCTTTCATGAAAAGCGAAGGAGATAGAAGCGGGTACCTACCTCGCGGACGACAGGAAATATTTTCCCACATGAAACTTCGTCCCACATTCCACAGGAGACTCATTCATCATGACATATATCCCGACGCCAAACGCGCCAGCATCCTTGAAATTGGCTCTTGCAGCAAACAAGATGATGAACATGGAATCTTCCTTAATCCCTGAGAAAAGAAGGAATGCTAATGCTTGAGCTCACATTTTATGGGATATTCTCCCATTCATTCTTTTCCAATGAGGAAAGAGCATACAACAATTTTTGGGCCATGGAAATAGCCTTTTCTCTGCAACATACTCATGAAAACATCAATGCGTCGTCGAATCGATATGTCCTCATGTGTGTCCTTAAAGCCGAAGCTGGCTGTTCGTTTCAAAAGCCAGGAAACCCTCAAGTTGGAACTGATCCTTCCATTGACGTTCTTCTTTCAATAGACACCGCTCTTCCTCCAGTAATTTGAAGCCGCATGACGTCATGATAGATATTCTCACATTGTGAGCCATATGCATCTCACAACTTCTTCCATTTATTTTTTTAATATCGATAATGGGTTCAATCACATCTTCAAAGATCCTGTTTGTCAAAGTGATCTCAATTATGCTATCAGATACAAAGGTCTAAAGTATTAATAGATGCGGATGCGTGTGTTATAAGACACAGAAGTGAGCCTAAAAGTTGTCGACTTCAGTTGTCGGTATCACTTGTCGATCTGTTCTTGACAAGCGTTTCTATGGATGGAGCACAATTTTATTTAACCCTTTTTTGAAGGTGTTTTTATTGCACAATTTGAAATTGTTCTTTGTATCTTACAACTTTTCTCCACGATCATGAAATTTGAAAAAGGTTTCGTCTAACATTGGAACATAAGAATCCAACAGTCTGACTGGCAGTTTTATGAAAGGCGAATAGGGGATGGAGAAGAAACCAGGTGAATGTCTTCCTCTGAATGAACTTGCAATCAAATGCAGCAGCAACGGAATTTCCTCCTTAAGAGTTCTTCACCGAGTCACAAATCCAAGCTGGAAAGCAAATGTTTTAAAGAGTGTCCGGAATCTGTCATTGGACCGGAAATTTCCCAATGAACGTCATTCCTTTCCTTCAATTTCCCAATGCCACGTCAACAGCTACGCCACAAGGCCTAGCTGTTGACATGGCAGTATAGGTTGGGCAATCGGCTGCTGGAGAAACAAGAAGTTTCAAAGATCATACATACCACTACACATGAACTACTACAACTTAAACTCTCCAACTTCAAATTCAATAGGTTATCAACAAAGTAAGGAATAGAATTCCCTGTCTAATTCTCTTTCCCGAAAAAAAACCTCCCCCCCCCCCAAAAAAAAAAGAACTACTTTCACATCCTGTCATGAAATTTTATTTGATTTATCTTTGAGTCATAAATGGGGAAATTGGCTTTTCGTTGGGCCATACATCGGGAAGTTGGCTCATATTCAGCGAATGATTTGGTCGACCAATTCACAGTTGGCAGGCAAATCATTCCCATTGTGGAAAGGCGGCTTATGGTTGGAACATGTGTGGTTTCCCAACAATGAGCCAAAGCTGGCCCAATGATGGGCCAACAGGACATCCCCGACTATAAGCCGGCTTAAACGAACATTAAGGTACCCATATGCCAGTGATGGCTCAAAAATTTTTGATTAGGCATCCATCACGGGTTTCTAGAGAATGAGTTAGGGGAGACGAATTTCACAGATGATAGGCAGGAGTGCCAAACAGACGATATCCTCCCATTTCCCCCCGTGAGACTTCACGATCGCGACGCATCTCGCATTCTGGGTTCCATTCTTGAAATTCGGTTCGCCCGGAAGCCAGAAGGTCTTCATTGAATCAGCCACCAAAGTTCCTGCGATAAAAAAAAATCCAAAAGTGCGTGAGGTCAGCGTCCATGAAATATTCACCATGTCCATGTTCCAATGGGATATGAGCGTGTAAACATTGGTGAGACAACTTAATATCCTTCGTACGCGCCATCATTTATTCCGAGAATAGAACTTTCCCTAGGATTCATCATACTAGCGTATATCCACATTAAGTAAAACCTTAATCTCCTCTTTTTGATACCAATGAAGCCAAAAGTTCAAGGTCAATGCCCATTCATGATCCTAATATGAATCTTCCTCACCATCAACCCAAGAAAACTCGTAATCCCAATCAAAGTCGTCAGCTCCGATCCAAAACTTGTCTTGGGAAGGGAAATGCGACTCCATGAATTCAAGGACGTAATCGTGCCACTCTTGACCTCGATCGTCCATAACGAGGTGAGCGAAACCTTCGCCTTTGCAAGTGCTCTTTGCTTTCATGTATTGTCCTTCCCCCATCGCTCTCAGAAAATGAATTTTCCCCGTGACCATCGCAAATTCGAATTCTTTTGAAGCAATTGTTTCTGCAGGGAAGAAATGAAACATCTTGGATATAGAAGCTCCTAGCTTGTTGACACTATATCTCTGACATTCTTGTTGCATAAACTATTGTATAGTTCTTGAAGTCTTAAAAAATTAGTCATTTCTGTCCACAGCATCGACGCGAACACTCGCTTCAACAACGATTGATTATCCTCATCTCCAAGTTCTTCACCTATTCTTTTTATTTATTTCGTGAACTTTTTTGTTGACGAGTCAGTATTATTGCTTCATCATTTCATTAATCCATAATTTATATCCCTAAATTTTCTGGAAACTTTTCTGGGAAAACGCCATTGTTAAGCGGGGCTTCCCTGAAGATATTATTCAGTACTGCCAGCATTACAAGCTTAAGAACGTATCAAGTCCATCATACCTTCCTGGAATTCACTTCCCAGAAAGACTTTTACTTTGATCATGTTGGACACTACAGGGAGTTAAGAAAGTTGTGTCCCATCCCAATATGCCTATAACCTCAGCAAAAATGTGAGAATCAGGAAATTTTTATATACACAACAAAAAGGACAGTTAACTGATTTAGAACCACTTAATAGTTTTCAATATAGCCACCCTTGGTGCAAATGACAAGGTTCAGATGACCCATGAAAGCATCAACTGATTTTCGCAAGTCTTCCTGTGGAATTCTCTCCCCATTCTCTGTTCAGGNTTATTTTTCGGCAATGAAAACACCATCTTCGAGAATTCATTAAATAAGAATAAGCTGCAACCATGGAAACCCATATCCACAACAGATCGAAAACTAAAGTATAGTCGTATGCGCAGTGTGTGCCTAAGAGAGGTATACGGCGGATTCCGGAGAAAAAGCCACCATTCTCAGGTGCGTCCATCCTAAATATCTGAATATTCGAAATGTTCTCGATTGAGAATATGAGCACTTCTGTCATCCTATTCCTCCTCGTGCAAGAGGCCGTCATGGGGAAGTTTGTGCACTTGGATGGAAATTACAAGGGAAAAAATCCAGTCAAGGAATTCCATGAGAAGAAACCGTGCCGATGTGAACACTTCTGCACAATGTAACGTCGTTGATTATGTGCTATGAGGTTACTACCTAATGAAAATAGTATAATATGTACTCGTATGCTTTATTGTTTTTCTTAGGGAAAAATGGGGCATCACGTATGCCCTGAAAAAGGTCGAAGATGGTTTCATTTGCCAGCTGCTTTCGAAATATTCCACCATTGTTGAAGATCCTGAAAGAAAATATAGAATCGCTTATTCAGGTAAGGTGCATTGGAATTCACGTGAAAGGTGAAAAAGATACATTTCATTGAATATGCACTATTGGCATTGGTGGGTATCGCGATTGTTACTCTTACTCATAGAGACTGACAAAGGCATGTAATGTTGCACCTCTCTGAATGAACATAGCAAAAATGTACAAAAATTAGCGTTGAGAAAATGAGACAGGATGTCTATACGAGGCATGATATATCTTGAATATCCCCTGACAGTCTCTATACAAGGTAAAATCTTTCCCCAAGCTAGTTGTTATCCCCTAAATGAAAGGTGTCAATGGTGACGGTTACGATCTGGTTTCCTCGTATATGCGACCATGAAGCTAGTAATCATTACTTGCTAATTCGAAAAATGTTAAAATCCCTAACGTAGGTTTATCATTCAATTTCGTCGAATTGAAGGAAAATGACAGCATTCCTAATTTTTAGGAACTATTCCCCCCTTACTACCCCAATGTGAACGCCCTAAATTTTCCAATTTGGTCCATCTTGGTGCGCTAAGTGTGTGCTACAAAGCACTGTTCTTTGGATTCTCTCAAGCTATCCCTGAACCAAGAATCAGAGCTAATTCCACACGAAATATGGCGAAAATCAGTCAATGCTTTCATGGGTGGTCTGAACCTTGTCATCTGTGCTAAGGGCGGCTATAACTTAAAACTATTAAGTGATTCTAAATCAGTTAACTGTCCTTATTATTGTGTATTTTAAAAATTTCCTGATTTTTAAAATTTTCTGAGGTTATTGGCATATTGCCGTGGGACACAACTTTCTTAACACCCTGTAGAATGACGCTCTCGTTCACACTAGTGTCGACTTTAGCATCAACTTGAATAAAGGTCGGACCTCGTTGGGACAGTTTTTTTGGGGGGAATAGTTCCTAAAAATTAGGAATGCTGTCATTTTCCTTCAATTCGACGAAATTGAATGATAAACCTACGTTAGGGATTTTAACATTTTTCGAATTAGCAAGTAATGATTACTAGCTTCATGGTCGCATATACGAGGAAACCAGATCGTAACCGTCACCATTGACACCTTTCATTTAGGGGATAACAACTAGCTTGGGGAAAGATTTTACCTTGTATAGAGACTGTCAGGGGATATTCAAGATATATCATGCCTCGTATAGACATCCTGTCTCATTTTCTCAACGCTAATTTTTGTACATTTTTGCTATGTTCATTCAGAGAGGTGCAACATTACATGCCTTTGTCAGTCTCTATGAGTAAGAGTAACAATCGCGATACCCACCAATGCCAATAGTGCATATTCAATGAAATGTATCTTTTTCACCTTTCACGTGAATTCCAATGCACCTTACCTGAATAAGCGATTCTATATTTTCTTTCAGGATCTTCAACAATGGTGGAATATTTCGAAAGCAGCTGGCAAATGAAACCATCTTCGACCTTTTTCAGGGCATACGTGATGCCCCATTTTTCCCTAAGAAAAACAATAAAGCATACGAGTACATATTATACTATTTTCATTAGGTAGTAACCTCATAGCACATAATCAACGACGTTACATTGTGCAGAAGTGTTCACATCGGCACGGTTTCTTCTCATGGAATTCCTTGACTGGATTTTTTCCCTTGTAATTTCCATCCAAGTGCACAAACTTCCCCATGACGGCCTCTTGCACGAGGAGGAATAGGATGACAGAAGTGCTCATATTCTCAATCGAGAACATTTCGAATATTCAGATATTTAGGATGGACGCACCTGAGAATGGTGGCTTTTTCTCCGGAATCCGCCGTATACCTCTCTTAGGCACACACTGCGCATACGACTATACTTTAGTTTTCGATCTGTTGTGGATATGGGTTTCCATGGTTGCAGCTTATTCTTATTTAATGAATTCTCGAAGATGGTGTTTTCATTGCCGAAAAATAAAATCTTTCCCCGCCTATCATTACTTTTCATGAAGGGCATGGAATAAGGAATGCTTTCCCTTTGTTTCGATGGACTGGTGATTCTATATAAAACGTGAGCCTGCATCCACATGCATCTGAGCGGAATGTGAACCTGGTAGCAGATACCTGGCACCAGCTACCTGGCACAGGCTACCTGGCGACCGAAGGGCGGTAGGAAATAGAGTTCGAACCTGGTTGATGGGTGGCAGTTGGGTACAATGTGGAAATAAACTTTGGAGGATGGTGTTTTGTTTGGGATGTTTCCTATATTTCACAATGCGAGGAAAAGTCAAATAGCCATGAAGCAAGGTAATGTGATATGGATTCACCCTTGTATCATATCATACAATCGATATTACGCGATTGCATACTTTCAAAGTAGACAGGTTAAAGAGATTACAATGATGCTATGAATCAGCACATCTGTAATACATAGCGGAAGACATGGAAGCGCCAAGATGCTGAGATTCTTTCAATTTGTCCAATGATATGCGTGAAGGAACAATAAGCCTACTTGAGTATGGTAGGTCTAACTTTAAAATGCGTCCAGGACACGTTGGGAACCCACATCGTGCATACGCATCAACTTCAAATGTCGATCTGATAGTTTGGGTAGCGACGGTTGGAGTTCTTTTCAACATGCATTCCTTATTTAAAGAAGAAACTCCAATCGAGATATAAAGGTTCCTCTCTGTAAATCAATTCCTTGCAAAACAGGCTGAAATATGGTCTCATTCGATGAGGAGTATTCGCTTGGCGAGAAAAGAGGCGCTTCTAGCTCATATATTTGAAATATTCCTGACCTACGTGGAATTTTTCTCTAATTTTTTCTTGTAAAGCTCCTCACTTGGCATTTCCTTAGAATAAAGAAAAATCACATCGATTGTATAATCTTTAATGAAATATCTGAGTTTTCCACCACCTTATGTCCTCTGAATAGGTAACCTTGGATATTCTCTCACGGTTTTGAGCAACCGTGCTTCCCTAGCAGCTGATACTTGAATCCATGTCTGCATCCTTTAGTTTTAAAGAATGCAGTTAACCCTTTTGCTGTTAAAAAAAAAAAGCCCTCACAGTGTTAAAAGAATTGAAACCCAGGATTTCCAGTAAAAGTCAAGAAATGAGTTGCATGGGGATTCTTGCTAAACTCAAGTACACGAACAGTTTCTCGCCCTTTTGGCCTGCCTCTATTCCTGCTTGCATATCCACTCCCATCATCGTAATTTTCACCTTCTCAAGTTTCAGCCTCAACTTCCATGTCTACATCAACTTCATTTTCACTACTAACATAGTAAATGCCACAATTAGCATTTAAAATTATATTAATTTCATCATCATCTAGCGCAAAACTACGTGCGTAGGAAGCCATTTTTTTTACAGAATGGGACGATAACGATACGCACTTTATTTTTTGTCATTCAATACTTCCGAAAGTCATGTGTCGACAAAAAGAAGCCCCATTGTATGGAAATTGATGGGTTTTTTTAAATACCGAATGTATGTCAGTTACAGTCAGAAGAGAAACAACGTAAAAGGACTTGTTTTCAGAGCCCGAGTTCGATGAGCCCGATTGTCGCTTTCCCAATTCACACACGCGAACCGTTGTAAGAAGGTAGACTCGTTAAGTTCCCATAGAAAGGGAGAGTACCGGAAAAGTAAAAAAGGAGACGTCTTCCTTCTTTCATCGTTAAATCACAACGGACCTGGAGTTTTCTACATGAACGCACACGGGAGAAGTCGGGAAACCTGCAAATCCATTTATCATGTGGAATTTCAATTCTTCCATTGGTCGACCACCAAGGCCGACAACGAAGTCGATACAGTCTGAATATTTTAGTTTTCTACATGAACGCACACGGGAGAAGTCGGGAAACCTGCAAATCCATTTATCATGTGGAATTTCAATTCTTCCATTGGTCGACCACCAAGGCCGACAACGAAGTCGATACAGTCTGAATCTTTGTTATCCTGCTCGACTTCCAAAAATGGTGATAACTCATTTATGTCCTTCCCCTTGGACAATTAATCTTTGCTACTAAGACGGCCTGCTCTCATGCGGACGAGCCCTACGCCTCGTTCGGGTCTTTTCCTTAGTGCTACGCCTCATGAACTCCGTCGCAGCAATTCCAGTTATGCTATATGAAACATATATTAAATGTTGACTTCAGTTTCATTTCCACATTGCTGTGACATACAGACAGTATTTTACACAACGTTGCGAAGAAATTGATACACGGGTAAGGATCTAAGCTAAACGTTGACACGATGTTGCAATGCCGCCTGGTTTAAGTGGCGTGTCGGAGATTCTTTCAAGTGTGTCTCGGTTTCATTGTCTGCGCTATGGCATTTTTGCTATGGTGTGCTTGTTGATGCTATGTGCTATGACATATTAAAGTCTTTTTGAAATCCCACCTCGAGACACAGCTTGCACGATGCATTTCCCTTAGTTAGCTATGAGATCATCGCTGAAATTGGGTTCGCCTTGCAAGGGAGAAAGCCTTATTGGAATTTTCATCGATTTCTCTGCGCCAAGAACAAATGCATGTGCATTAGACCAGAATGCATGACAAATCTCTAATGGGATAAGAGCCGGACCAATTCGAAGAGGGAAGGAAATTACATTTGCTGCGCACCATTCTGTGAAAAGAACTACATCTGAGATTAAAATTTCCTGCTATGAGGAATGAGACGAATCCACAGGCTTTGTGCAGATTGGAACAGTCATGCATTGCAATGAACACTAACTACTTCAAGGCCAGTTAAATGCATTCCCTTTTTCCATAAAAGAAAATGCCACACGAGTAGTAAGATGCCCTTGAATTCTTTAACGCTTGCATTTGAATTTTGAAATCATTTGGAACAGAACCACCCGCGGAAAAAGGGGAAGAGACATTCAGATTACACCTCTTCTTCAGATGTTGGTAATACATATGGGAGGTTCTCATTCTCATTTCAAGAGGATGTGATGTTAAATTAGTTTTTTAATTTCCGCAAAGCACTCTAAAAATAAAGCCTCCCAAAGCCTTTCAAGTACCATGGATAATGAAATTTTCACTATATGCCAATGAATGTTAGGAATTTTAATAATTCTCCAGCTCTACGACGACATACGAATAATTATGGACTAGGCAGAAATACGGAACTATTGATATATACCTGGTCTTGCCATAAATACTGTTACAAGTTTTTTTTTTTAAATTAATCTGTCAATATGAAACATACGCTGCATTCGCTAACAGCATTTATTTCCTTACATAATTACTAGCAGTTTACAGAAACATCATTAAAAATGTCCAACCTGACCTTCACACATGACTTTAAACGATCAGGCCAATCATCCATCGCAGTGCGCGACCCACCCATTGTGATATTGGCTGCTGATTGATGAAAAAATCCGGAACAAAGTAACGCAATCCGATAAATCGATGAATCCCCTGTCATGAGAAGAATCAAGTTTAGGTACGTTCTTTCAAATGGACACCTGAGCGGCAACTTAGTACTATTGCACTCAAGCATTGTAACTAGTGTATTTTGAATACTTATTTCCCCGTATTTCTCCATCACTGCTTAAGACATTTGCAACGCGATTGACAAGAGGAGCAGCCAAAAGTGTCATTTCTGGAATATTCCCCACCATATGCATGGACATTTTAACATTATAATTCCCCTTTCCTGAAGAAAAACCAAAAACCACTCGATACAAAGACCGGCCATCCAACAGATCACGCTCACCTGGAGATGGAGTGAGAAGATTCCGCAGACGCCAGGCAGGATTTTCCCAATTAGATTTCACGCGCCGGCGAGGGAGACGTGACCGTCGCGACGCTCCTCCCTTGGAAGCTCGCGCCTCCACCCGCAGGCCTCCTGCATGGAAACATCCAGCGGTCTCCCTGCGACGAGAGCAAATACGACGGACCATGAGCCAGGAATGCATGGAGCATTTCTCCGCTATTCGCTTCCAGTATGCGGAGGGCATGCACGGTGAAGCGGGTGAGACCTCCGAGTACCTGGCACCTTTCGTCTCTCCAAGATGAGCATTTCCGATAAGATTCGCGTGATTTCCCAAGAGGGACGGGAATATCCTGCAGCCTCTAAGGAAATGCAATCCACCGTGCATTGCAGCAGATCATGGCAACTCAACACGTGGGCGAAACAAACTTCATTCCAAAAGAAATTTGCATGCGGGCATGCGGATGGCTTTACCCCAAATCTATTACTTGCGGGAGATGAGATTCTCCAGAGGTTGCCTGTCTGTTACGATTTTGATCATTTATTCTGGATGAATCCGTGATACGACGAGTTCAATTCTAGGCAGAAGAGGATCACGAGGACCTTCCATACGAACTCAACCAGGCAGTGCACTTCACCAATCCGGATTTGCTGATTAAAATTCTCAGCGATTTCACCCTGTAATAATAATGATCTAACAACCCTGTAATAATAAAAAAGAATGACCTTCATCAGATCTGAGTTTTGACAGATATTTCTCCCCCCCCCCCCAAAAAAAAAAAAAAATGGGGGGAAAATGGAAAAACCCCATGAACTGCAAAATTTTCATCTCGGCAACCGTTCAACGTACGTAGGCGTTAACAGCAACAGGTGTTAACAGGCGTTGACAACGAACGGGTTAACAATTCGATTCGTAAAGCCTTGGTGCTGGAACGAGATTTAAGCATTTCAGCGGTCCCAATACTCAGGAATAATTTGATGCTTTCCCAAGTAACACAGTATGTTGATGAAATGTTTCCGAGATGTTGCCTATGTTGCTCAATGTTGCAAGTTGATCTACAACATTGATAAAACATTGCTTCAATGTTTTCACTTGAAATGTTGTTGCGATACTTCTACGAATGTCATTGCAACATTTGCTATCAACATCACGTGGACTGCGGTCCATGTTTGCAGTTGTAAGGACCACACCAACGCGTTGCGTCAGTGTTGCGTCATCTCATACCTCGACGAATCCCAAATCTGTCTCAGAAAGGGCGAGAAGTAATTCATCTGAGACTGGGTTTTATTTCTTGCGTTCTGTTTTTCTTTGAGGGAGATGAGGATATTGAGCTCGATATCAGTGGAGAAGAAGATGCTATTCAGAAAGACTTTAGAAAGACGCTTCTCATCCGACCCTTCACACGCTCTACTTCACTTCCTCGAAGGAAGGAAGTTTAATGAGTTACGGACGATCCAGGCACATTCCACTTGTGCACACAGGGCGAGAAGCAGGAAGCATGGAAAGTCCATCGATCAACTGGAATTGAAATATTTCTTCTGCTGGACTTACATAGCCGGAGAAGTCGATATAAGGGCAAATCAATGCACGACAAAACATGACCTCCTCCGATTTTAATGAAATTTGGACAAAAGCTTTGTATCATTGAGAAAGTGAGAAATCTTTAGCAGTTTCTTCCTCGGTCGCTTAGATTCAAAGATACAGATGATGCCTGCTTTGTTACCTTTCAGAACCTTAGTCCCTGAAAATGCTTTTAACTTCTTTTCAAGGTAGAGAGTTGGTTTGTAGATCTTCTGAAAAGTCTGTTCCTTCCCTTCCTGATAGCATTAGAATTGATAGTAACATCTATAATGAGACAGATTTCTTCTTAATCTGGTCAGTTGCCATGGAATGGCATGGAGATGATTACAGGCCAAACCCGAAAATTGATGATTAAGCTCTTCAACGATCCTTCTCATAGACGTCCTTCGATCATCTGATTCCACTCTTCCTCAAGCCGTTTATAGTCGCATGAACCATATTCTCGCGTTGTCATGCCCATGTAACGCAGTTTACTCTCAAAGCATTTTTATAATAAATTGTAATGCAAAAACAGTGGTTTCATTTATATGTGCCAGTTACTGG